GGAGACGGACATGGCTGGGACCTCTCCCCCCCATAGCACAGCGCCCCCTAGTGCCAGGCTGGGAGACGGACATGGCTGGGACCTCTCCCCCCCATAGCACAGCGCCCCCTAGTGCCAGGCTGGGAGACGGGACATGACTGGGACCTAGGGTGACCAGATAGCAAATGTGAAAAATCGGGACAGAGGATGGTGGATAATAGGAGCCTATACAAGAAAAAGATTCCTACTGGGACCCCTCCCCCCCATGGCACAGTGCCCCCTAGTGCCAGGCTGGGAGACGGCACATGACTGGGACACTCCGCCCCCCCCATGGCACAGCACCCCCTAACTCCCGACTGCAAGACATGGCACGGCTGGCTCCCCCCCAGCACAGCACCCCCTAGTGCCAGGCTGGTAGATGGGATATGGCTGGGACCCCCACGACACAGCGCCCCGTAGTGCCACGGTGGGAGACAGGGCATGGCCAGGACCCCCTCTGGCACAGCACCCCCTAGTACCAGGCTGGGACATGGGGCACAGTGCCCCCTATTGCCTCTCCTGACCTGGCTGTAGTGTGTGTTGAGCTCCCTCTGGTGGCCGTTGTATATATAGACAGCGCCGCGCTCCGCGCTCTCCAGCGGTGCCCCCACGGCGACATCAGCCCAGCCGTCCCCGTTCAGGTCAGCCAGGGCAGTGATGGCTGCACCGAAGCGGCCCAGCGGGTTCCCCAGGGCTCCCTGGAGCACCGCAGTGTTGGTGAGCCTGGCCTGGGGAGTGAGCACAGAAAGGTTAGATACAGAGTCAGTGTCCCCTGCAGGGCCCCCAGCACTGCCCTGGGAACCCCCTATGGAAACCTCCCTGCTGGGGAGACTCCCCCCCATCCTCTGCGCTCCTAGCCCCAGGGCCCCCACAGCACTGTCTATGCCCCTTACTCACCTGGTCCCAGCGATAGATGTGGACCCTGCCCCCACTCCTGTCCTCATAGTACAGGGGGGCCCCCACTAGGAGCACGTCCGTGTCCCCATCCCCGTCCACATCCACTGAGCACAGAACTGACCCGAAATAGGAGCCAATCTACAAACCAAAGCGGGGTGGGGGTCAGAGAGGTCGGGAGCAACCACAGTGCCCCCTAGTGAGCCTCGCACTGCACCCAGCAGCACAGCGCCCCTGCCGAGCCCTCCCCGCCCCCCGCAGCCCGGCGCCCCCTGCCGAGCCCCCCGCCCGTTCCCCGCAGCCCGGC